ATATGTATAGTTAAAATTGTTTATAGTATGGAAAGATAGGAAAATGTTGTCTCTGTTATCCGTGTTTAGTTAATCGCAAGAATTGATTGGTTGAATAGTTTTTGCATACTGAAATCCTAAAAAGTATAGTACAGGTTGCGTGAAAAGTTCGCGGAGCGAAACTGAAATAAAAAATACTTAATTCTAAAAATTATTTTATTCTTCAATATAGTCTTCATTAACATCAATACACTTGGCCTAATGGCTCTCCAATAACTTTATTTCATCGCGGAAGTGTGTTTCTGGAAGGTCTGCGAAATATGCCTCTACGGCTGCTATAGCTTCTTCATTCGACAAAAAATGCTTTCCATAGAGGAATTGTTTCAGGTTTCGGAACAGATAGAAGTCGCTGGGTGCCAAATCTGGCGAATACGGTGGATGATCAAGCAATTTGTACTTCAATTCATTGAATTTAGACATTGACAAAACACTTTTGTGAGCAGGTGCGTTGTCTTGGTGAAAAATAATTTGTTTGTGCTGCAAACCAGGTCTTTTTTCACGAATTTTTACGTCCAATTGATCCAAAAGGTTACAATAATATACAGAGTTAATTGTTTTACCTTTTTCCAAATAGTCAATTAACAAAATCCCTTTAGCATCTTAAAAAACTGATGCCAAAACCTTTTTTGCCGATCTTTCATGCTTTGTTTGCTTTGAAGCTGAGCATCCAGCTTCAGTCCACTGTAAACGTTCCAGTTTCAATTTAGGATTATGGTATTAGATCCAAGTCTCATCCATAGTTATAAACGACGACAAAATCGGTTTTATTCTTCTTAAAACGATCCAAATGACGCTGAGAAATTTATTTTCGAGCGAGTTTTTGTTGAATTAACGTATGCGGCACCACTTTTCTAAACACCTTTTTCATTTGTAATTCTTTATGCAACATATGCCGTACCCGTTCATCTGAAATGCCTATGGTATGAACAATTTCACGCGTAATCACACTTGGATCTTCAGAAACAATAACATGTATTTGCTCAATGATTTCTGGTGTTGATGTGTTTTTTGGACGTCCACTGCATGGATCAGCTTCAATGCTTGTACGACCACGTTGAAACTCAAGTGCCCATTTACAAACCATTGTTTTTGGAGGAGCAGATTCCCCTAACACATTTACCATCTCGGAATGAATTTCCATTGCCTTTAAACCTTTTTTAACAAAGAACTCAATCACTGCACGCTGTTTCAAATTTTCCATTGCAAACAAATATACTGACACGTCAACTTCAATTGGCTTGTAAACACAGAAAGAATTGACAGATGGAAATGAAACCTAACCTAGGTTCATGTGAAGAGTGATTCTATATAACCGACTATAATTTATAATTCTACCGTTTACTTATAGATGCCGCTCCGCGAACTTTTCACGCAACCTGTATCTTGTTTCGGTTTGGCTTACATGTAAGCCGTGTTTAATTAAAATGTATATCATCATAATCTGTTACTTTTTGTAATTCTCTGACCTTTCATGTCATTCTCTGATTTCGTGCCTGTAATTTTTCGTAATTTTATTATTTTTCGGAATGATATAATTTAATTCATATAACATAATATTATTCTCTATGTAACCTTCACTACTCTCAACCTTCCGCAAAGTCCGATAATTTCGGAGAAAGTGGAAATGAAAGAAAATTTTGAACGTATGGTGTTGGAAATAAAAAATGAAAAAAAAATTTTAACTAGAAGAGGAAGAAACTTTAGAATTTTATAATACATACGAGGTGCTAGAAGCAGAAAAGGTTGATTTATTAAAGGAACGTGAAAATAAAGAATATATTTTGAAAAAAATTATTTGTAATTCTATTGAAGCAACAATATCAAATAATTATAAAAAGCAAGCTGTGGAATACTGGAAGAGTGGCAAAACAAGACCAAGGTCGTTTGACAGAGTTGTACAAAAATTCAAAAAAGTTACATCGATAAGACAACTACAACGGTGGGAGAACCGAGTCAATGAAGGTGGTAATAGAACAGAAAAATTAAAAAAGAATTCTGAATACACATTAAACCATTTTAACGAATGGCTGGAAAAAAATTATTATTCACGACATTGATATTGCTCGATGGGCTTCTCGAATGCAAGAAGAGAAAATGCGCCAGGATCCAAAGCTTCAGAAGCGTGGGTAAAAAGATTTAAAATTACATATGATATGGTGTCTCGAAAAAAACAAAATGTGTCATAAAAAAATCTTTGTTATCAAAAGTAAGTTCGGAAAATAAGTGCGATATATTTATTGAAAACGTAAAATATTACATTGGTAGACATGGAGTGGAAAATATTTATAATTCCAATTACAGAGTGGATTTCAATTAGAATTTCACTCCGGTCATACTTTATCACATTAAGGTGCAAAAAAGATAGAATCTGTCGCACAGTCTACATCAGCAACCACACATAATTACACTATACAGCCAACTATTTTTGTAGATGGTATATAGATTATTATCGCCTCTTTTTATTGTATTAAAAGGAGTTGCAGGAACATTTTATCTGAGAGTGCAGTAAACTATATTCAAAGCGTCTGATATTTTTGTTATCGCTTAATAACCGCTGTCAGGCAAATTAATATTATATCATGTAAAATCTTGGTTGCAAGAAGTATTTTTTTCCAAATGTCAGGTCACAATCTGTATTATTTACTGTATTACGAACTGTATTATTAAACTCATGGAGTGGACATTGTCCCGACATAATTATGAAGATTAAATTCTGCAACAGATATTATTTTCCTAACATTTCCGACCGGTGCAATAGGAAAGATACTGTTATTAAATGTATATAGTTTCCGATTATGGACATTTTATTAAACATTTTCCAGATATGGTTATATTATTAGATTTTACAATAGATCTCTATGTTGGAAATAATATCTTGTAATTGCAATCACTAGTGCGCCATCAATTCTCGTCGCCCAGGTTTCAAAATTTATTTAAATACATATGTGACTTAAAAGTTGGTATATATAGAATAGACCAGCCAAGAGTATTTCAAACAATAGTTAATTTTTATTTCAAGAGCAATTCTAAAAATACGATATCTGTAGCGTAATTACCATAATTCTTGGTAAAAAATTACTTTTGTAGCACATTTTTTCCATTATCCCATCTTTGCAACGAATATGTATCACAAATATAACACACATTTGTTATCCGTTTAAATATAAATTCTGTACTATTTCTTTTTATGTATATATTATTAAATATTTATCATTATCAATATCATTCTTCTACAACTTACTACAATGTTCCTTTCTATTCTCTATGTTTCTGTAGGTTGTTACCCAATAATTTACATATTATAAGGCTCTCGTTATACTTCCTTCAGCAACTGTTAATTAACTAGTTAATGATATGTTGTATTTTCACATTGCACGTTTGCTCTTTCTTGCGGAATATATAGAATAGAATAGAATCTGTATTTCTTTATTTCATGCATTTTGTCTCAATTCACTTTGATCTTGTATTGACTTATCTTTAAGAGATTTTAGTAAATATAGATTTCACATATATTGAACTCAAGAAATATATATTGGAAACTTCTGTATACAAATAGCGTCACCGCAAACACATTCGCTATTGTTGTTACATATGCAAATTAATTTGCGGTCATGTTTTCATTTCGTGTAATACGTAGCGTATCATATCATCAGGATTAATTTGTTTTCATCCTGTAATATGAAAAAAATATGCATAAGCATTTATGAAGCATAAAGCGGGAAGCACACATTCTTACATAAAGGCATAATGTACAACGCATAAGGAAATAAACCAATCAGAATCCTCATTTCTATTGCCACGCTTGAAATGAAAGACTCTGATTGGTCCATTTCCTTATGCGTTATGCATTATGCCCTTATGTAAGAGAGTGTGCTTCCCGCTTAACGCAAGTGAAGAGAAATAATGCAACCTAATGATACTTACTTGCACAGCATGGCGCCTATGATACGATGTCGTTTTACAGAAATTTAATCGTGACCACACCTTTTAGTATCATATGTATGAATGAATTTGATATTCAATGCTCTTCAATTTTTGTCCTTACTAAAACTTACAAATTTGCAAAGGTAACGAAGGGAGGAGGGTAGGTATTAAAAATAATACATTTTTTAAATTTGAGCAGACCGCTTCAAAGAGTGTAAATTACTCCACAACTTTTATATGACACATTTTTTTCACATATCTCGTAGTTTAGGAAATGTTTGCAAAAAATGAAAAAATCTGTTTTTTTTCTTTTTTGAAAGGTTGTTTCTACATTTAAGCGTTGAAATATACTATTAAAAAACATTTGACTTTAGTATTTTTTAATGCTCTACAACACATCTAAAATTGATGAAGGACGGTTTCCTTTTCAGAAAAAAAGGAAATTGTCCTACTTTTTAAATTTCAATACACTACTTTTTCAGAATAATACTCATCGATTTTATACTATATTCATAAGGAAAATTTTAAACAATAATAAAATAAATGCAACAATAGCTCTATCTCGCGTATTCTTTTCGTTAATTTATATACTCATCTATTTGCGCGTAATAGATTAATAACAAATAACGCGATTCTCTCAGCTTATTATCAAACAACAACGATCACAGGTATGACAATTGGTTACCATCGACAACACGATAGAAACATTTGTGATATTACATTTTTCTCCAACAATGTAAAAATCTCGCGATCCGACAGAACAATTTTCCGTAGGTCTTCCGACTCGGCCTCTCTCTCTCTCTCTCTCTCTCTCTCTCTCTCTCTCTCTCTCTCTCTCTCTCTCTCTCTCTCTTTCTCTCTCTCTCTCTCTCTCTCTCTCTTCCTTTCTTTTTCCGTCAGCCTCGCTGGTTGTGAATGTCACGGAACGTACCGCAACATAAATAACTCGCGGAGCTTATCTACAAACCATAGGCAACGCCACGTGGCTTCTAACGCGGATGTAAGTAGCGAGGGTGGAATCGATAACGTTCTCTGGAAGATTAATTTTTCGTTGGTTCGTTCGACGATCTCGTTTACGTCCGCTCGTTAGCTCGCTCAATGGACGATCATTTCTGATCGGCCTCTGCGTCTCTCGGCGTCCGCCCGTAGACCGAGCGGGCTCCCCGGTGCACTCTTTCTATCGCTGATCGGATCATCGCTTCTCGACTTCTAACTCCTGGCTCGACGCCTCCGTCACTGGCGGCAAGGGGCTTTCCACTGACACTTGTCTGCCAATCACGTGAATTACGTGACATTTAATACAATGATCAAGGCTCTCTTGGCTACTCGCCATCTTGATTTATGTCAAAAGCGAAACAGTGCACGCTCGAAATGTTTATAAAAAATATGCTGAAATAAAAAGATATGTTCGCAAAATGACATTCGCGATTGATCGAGCAAATCTGTAATATAATTTGAACATTTTTCTTGAGCTCTAATAACTAATAAATAATCGTAAAATCAACACGATAAAATCATGAGGAAAGATAGATTAAAGAAGTAAATTGCAAAGCAATATCAAGCAATATAAAAAAATATTTGAGCTCTTTTACAGATTTGCTATGATTGTCATTGCTTGTCGAATGTCATTGTCGAGTGTAACGGATATCTTTTTATTTTTATCGTATTTTGCGAGTTGCGACATCGAGGTGATGATTTCTGATTGACTTCTTTAATACGACGAATTGGCGCAAGTTTTAAATGCAAAATTTCAATAAGGAGAAAGAGAAAGACCAAATATATTTTTTTGTATTAATATACCTAACATATATTATATATCAATATAATCAAAAGAAATATTGAGCATATATATTTTCTCGCTTCTGACGTTATCAATCAAGAGGTCCGCGCCAAATAGTCAGAAGCCTTAAGGGAATGCCATGTTCTGATAATTTACCAACAGAATATTGGCTTCTTTTTTTTAAACAAAGTTCGCATCGCATTGGTTGTATAGAATGATGAATGAACTTTTTACGATAAAATTACATGCAAAAATTTATTAGACTGTTGTTCAGTTTGTCATATGACAAAAACAAATTCCATACATTAAAATTTCAAGTTGTCAGTTATCGTATTTGTAAATATTTGCCCGATAAAATATTCTACAGTTGCTGAACGTATGTTTATTCCGCTGAGGAAAATTTAAAGAATATTACTTTTAGAACTGTCTGAGACTTTTTGAAAATCGGAAATATATGAAAAGTTTGTAGAAAAATTTCTATATGTATATTAGTCATGTTTTCTGCAAAAATGATGAAACAAAACCGTATGTATTTATTTAAGATCTATATATGTATATTAAATAGGATAGCGTGATTGTATTAGTGTTTATTTGAGATAACATTTTGACGATCGTTTTTACGTTATCGACATTATTCGGAGATCGGCATTCCCTTAACACATCCGACGAACTTTTCGTGTGTGAGTTTTTTCTCCCTCTCTTTCTCTTTGCAGTTTGCGTATCATTATAAGCAGACGATTAAGAAGCAGGGGATTAAGCGGGTAACGGTGTCGAGGGGGTTCGTTTGTAAGGCTGCTTGCAAGCGCCGATTAAGATAATTTATGCAGCTATTATCATTCATATCGCCGTGAATGGCCATGGGACGTGATTTATTTCCTCGGCGTGCAATGTAAGAGTAAATTACACATTACTCTCCGATGTAACCGTTTAACCCGGCTTGGAAAATACGTAGTCTTCGAAGTGACAACGATAATTCACGAAGGAACGCATTCAGTCAAGAAGCCAAGAAACGTTAAACGAAGAACCAAATTCAGGAATCCACGAAGTGAGGCGCCGACATATTCTATGCAAATCTAAATAAACGCAATGTACTTGTACATTCACAGAGGAATCTATCTAAATCTAAACCAGTGAGCTCTTGAGTAAACTAGAATGAGCATTTCTGGTATTAGAATTCCTATATCTGTATTAGAATTCCTATAATGAGAGTTGCAACATCGAGGTGATGATTTCTAATTGATTGACTTATTTAATACGACGATTTGGCGCAAATTTTAAATGCAAAATTTAAATAAGGAGAAAGGAAAAGACCAAAAAATATATTTTTCTTGTATTAATATACCTAACATATTAGGAAGTTGAATTAGTTCTGGTCTCCAGCAATAGATTGATTTAATAACAAGTTAATAGTTAGTACGAATGTTGAAATCTGGCAACACTGAAAGATTTGACATTTCTCTATGGCAGAGTTTCTCAACCTTTTTTGTATTTCGTACCCCTAAAAATTTATTAATGAACCTTTGCACTCCCTATAAAAAAAATGATTCATATGTTTTATGATAAAAATTAGTTGTTAGCGTTTTAAGGCAAAAAGTTAATTTATAATAATTTATTATTATATAGTATTGTTTTATAGAAATTAACTATCATTTTAATATTATAAAATTATTATCCATAGTATCAAGCTTCGCATAGTGATACGTAATAAATATATACGCACAGACACATATTGGGGACTTGAATAAGTTCTTCCTGTTTTTTCGTGAAAATGAATGTTTTATTTGAAAAAATTAGTAAAGAACATGTCATTGAAAATATTGTCCATCGCTAGCCATTACTTTCTCCTATCTTTCTGGCAGCATACGAATACCATGTCAAAAGAACGTCTCATCTTTTGAGGTTATCCACGAACCGACCTATTTTTTGACATCTTCATAAGAATAGAAATGTTGCTCAGCCAGGCCATGAGTCATCGATCGGAGCAAGTAGTAATCGAAAGGAGCAATGTCCGGTGAATACGGCGGATGAGGTAGGACTTCCCATTTGAGCGTTTCCAAGTAGGTTTTGACCGGTTTTGCAATATGTGGCCGAGCGTTGTCATATTGCAAAATTACTTTGTCGTGTCTCTCCTCGTATTGCGGCCATTTTTCCTTCAATGCTCGGCTCAAACGCATCAATTGTAGTCGATAACGATCGCTCGTGATGGTTTCGTTGGGTTTGAGAAGCTCATAATATACTACACCCAGCTGATCCCACCAAATACAGAGCATGAGCTTGAAACCATGAATATTCGGCTTTGCCGTCGATGTTGATGCATTGCCGGGCTTACCCCATGATTTTCTACGCTTCAGGTTATCATAGCGTATCCACTTTTCATCGCCAGTCATGATACGATGCAAAAAACCTTTCCTTTTCTGCCGTTGGAGCAGCTGTTCACACGTGAAAAAATGCCGTTCAACGTCTCTCGGCTTCAATTCGTACGGCATCCAATTTCCTTGCTTTTGAATCATTCCTAATGCTTCTAAACGTTTGGCAACTGTTGTGTGATCAACTCCTAATGATTCTGCAAGTTCATTTTGCGTCTGACATAGGTCTTCATCGAGCAATGCTTCCAATTCTTCGTCTTCAAACTTTTTCGGTGCGCCAGAGCGTTCTTTATCTTCAACATCAAAATCATTATTTTTAAAGCGTCTAAACCAATCTCTGCATGTTGTTTCCGACAGAGCATGGTTGCCGTAAGTCTCCACAAGAATTATATGTGCTTCAGCTGCAGATTTTTTTTGAAAAAAGTAATGCAGTAAAATTCCCCGCAAATACTCCTTTTTTAGCACGAAATTCGACATGTTTAACGCTATGAAAAAATATGTTGTTTACGCTTCGGCGGAATAACATATACTGTCACTTCGAACCTAATGGTGGAGCTTCACGATGAAGTTGGTTGTAGTATTGCCCGATGTAAAAATGCTAAGATAACACCATCTGTCGGGAAACAGCGAGAACTTATTCAAGTCCCCAATAAAAGATATATAATTTGAATAACATTTTTTTAATTTACTGGTAAAAATACCGGATTATTCCAGAATTCATCTTAACCATTATTAATTATAATCACTTTTCCTCGCACCCCCAAGAATGTTTTTTCGCACTCCCGGTTGGGAACTACTGCTCTATGACAGTTGCGCACTATTGTACTTACTGATAGTTTCATTGTTTATATGCGTCTAAAATGAATAGTACAAAATTGCATTTTCGACATTCATTATTTTTCTTGTTCGATTTGAAAAAATCGGAAACTGAAGCTCATAAAATGCTTGTTTCTTGTTATGATTAAGCTCTATCATATTTCAACTATACATTTTGGTTTCAACGATTTAAGATAATGGTGATTTCGATTTGAGTGACAAAGAACGTAGTGGTCAACCAAAAAATTTGAAGATTCTGAATTGTAAGAATTATTGAATGAAAACATGAAAAAATAATTGGCTGAATAATTCAACATCGATAAATCAACAATTTCTAAACCATGGGAAAAATTCAAAAGGAAGAAGACAAATGGGTTCCACCATGAATTGAATGAAAGTGCCATTGCGAATCGTTTGAATATCGCCATGTCTTTGTTTGCTAGATAGGAGAAAAGAGTTTTTTATGGCGAATTATAACTGGAGATGGAAAGTGGATTTATTTTGATAATCCAAAGTAAAAAAATCATGGGTTGATTCAAGACAACCATCAACATTGACACTAAAACGGAACATTCACAGTGATAAAGCAATGCTGTGTATTTAGTGGGACATGAAAGGTGTAGTGTACTATGAGCTTCTAAAACCGAATGAAACAGTTACGGGGGAGCGATACTCGTAACAATTGAACAAATTAAATGATGAATTGATACAACAAAGACCAGCGATAGCCAACAATAGACGCAAAGTGATTCTTTTGTGCGATAATGTTCATTCACATGTTGCTTCAATCGTTAACCCTTTAATGCCCGACGTTTTTATAAGTGTTTTAAGAATAAATTTTGAGTTTTTTTGAACTGAGACTATAAATAGTGATAACCAAAAAAAATATCAGAATTTTATATTTACAAAAAACTACCTTTTCAAGCAAGAAACTATTCCCAAAAGTAAAAAATACGCTTGATCGGTTAAATTTTTTTTTTAGTTTTAATAATTTTATATCATACCTAATGGTTGGAAAAATTCCTCGAAACATAAAACTCATATTCAGAACTTGATCATTATTTACCCGGAATGGAATTGCATAAAGCATCGAGAGATGCAGAGGGGAATTTTACAGGTTTTGCAAATTATTTTTGTCCTGTTTTGCTTCCCTTTCGAGTTGCACAATTGACAACGTCTTTTACTGTTTTCCTTAATAGACATGTGCTTGTTGTAACACTTCCTGATGTACGAAAAACGAAAACTAACAATCGATTTTGAACGGAAAATGTAAAGTAATAGTCTACTTCTGAACGAATAAATTTGTACTTTTTCTGTAAATATAACGATAAAAATGATAAACATGGACACACTCAGAGATGGTTATCCAGATATAAAAACCGTGAAACAATTTGGCGGAAAATCAGTATCAATCGTTTACTTCTGAATAAATGAGTACATAAAGTTTCTGCTTTCCGTTTGTTGGTTTCGTTAGTTTGGTTTCTTTATCGTTCGTTTTTTGTTTACTGGTAAAGGTGACTTGGATTCTAAAAGCGTATACGAAATGAGCAACCTATAAAGAGAAAAATGAAGGGTAATCTATACGACGTAACTCTGATAGTCAGCTTGACATTTTTGAGCTAAAACTTTATTATATTTGTGAGTGAAGTTTATTATTCAAGTTTATTATTCAGAGTGTCAAGCTTACTATTTCAGAAGAATATCTTATAGATCACCATTTAGATAGTCAATCGTCTCTTCATTTTTCTCCGCATAAAAAACTGTAGGTCACCAGGTTTCACGAAAATAGGTTGATTTCTTGATTTTTGTGTCCACTATATTGGATTCGCCATTTTGAATTTCTGTATTCTTTTAATTTCACATTTTACATCTGAGAAAGCTTCCCCAAATGTATAAAATTATAACAGATACCAATCTATTCATTTATAGTGCACTTCTAGTTGTCAGTAACAATACTACGTAATTATGCCTACTTGGAATTTGACAAAACATGTTATTATTAAAATTAAGCTAAAAACAGACTAAACCAAATCTACATACAATCTATATATCATTTTTTAGAAGAAGAATTCACCTTTACAGTGGAGCAAAGAAAACGAAACTCTCTCCTTTTTTGAGAGTTATGGATTCTTAAATGCGTTTCTGGTAACTATAGTTACCAGTAGGCGTTAAAGAGTTAAACAAACATTGTTAGAGCTCGAATAGGAAATCCTTCCGCATCCAACGTACTTTCCAGACCTAGCACCATCTGATTAGCATCTATTCCGATCGATGCAACACGTTTTGGCAGATACACACTTAAATATTTACGAAGATGTCGCAACAATTGTTGTTTAATTGGATTGCTTTGAGAGACAGATCGTTCTATCGTCGCGGAATCACCATGTTGCCAGAAAAATGAAAAAATGTCACAGCTAATGACGGAAAATATTTTGATTGATGTAAATTATGTAACTATTCCTTTAAAATAAAGATAAAAAATATTGACAAAATGAGACCAGAATTAATTCAACCTCCTAATATGTATGGACTCAATAACCTCAGGAACGATGAAGTCAGTCAATGAAGCATTGTCAGAAGCAATAATGTAAGCAGCGTTTGAACACTCTTTTCTGTTTTCTGAATTATCCGCGTTCTCACTGAAATGCTCACTTCGGCACATTATAGAGTTCACTGGTCTAAATATATTCGAAGGATAAATTCGTCGAGAGGACAAACGGCGTTTCGTCAGCGCTCGTCTCAAAATCATTTAGGACAGAACGAGTAAGATTCCGCTAAATGGAGTTCCATTGTGCGCGCAAACGGGAATTTTATTGAAATGGGATATCTGACAAATATCCAGAGTATACAGCGAAGAGAGGGAGAAGCAAGAGAAGGAGGAGGAGAAGCAAGAGAAGGAGGAGGAGGAGGAGGAGGAGGAGGAGGAAGAGGTGTGGGCGGGGGGAGAACGTGAGAAAAATCTTGTTTACCTGCCGCTTGTGTGCAAATCGTAGGAATCCGGCGCAGACATGCTTCTACCGGCACGATGGAATTGTTCCGCTTTAACGTCGCGCTTCTGTGAGGATGCGCCGCTTGGTCCCGCTTCCGCGTCGTTGCCCGCTATCCTCCCGATCCGCTTCGGCAGGAACGGATTCTGCGGAGGAATGACGATTTTCCCTTTTATCGCGCTCTTATTCACCGTATACACTCCGTTGGCTTTCCACGGAGTCCAATACCTTTCGATGAAGCCGATCGCGGTTGTATCGGGGATGTGGATGCAAATTCGTATCGAGTGGTCGTTTGGTCTCCCACGCGCGAAATCACGAACGCGCAGAACTCGTCGACGGGAGAATATAATCGTAGACATACAGGGTATCTGACGCAAGTCATACGCAACTCGTACGAAGATGCGTAGAACGCATCAAACCGAGGATAGCTCTCAGTTTGCAACTAACCACGTGAAATTTTGAATTATTAACCCTCAAAAACTATCATAAAAAAAAAATCACGTTATCACCGTCGTGAGTATTAATTTAGTATAATTAGTATAATTTATTATTAGTAATTATTAGAAATTAGTATAATTTCAGTATATATTTTTTCAGTACATATTTCTCACAGTATATATTTTTTTATCTGAGGAATCAGAAAGGTCAAACAAATGTAATTATTATTATTGAATATTATTATTATTGAATTGAGTTTTATTATTATTGAATATTAGATGAAAAGTAGAGATGTTATTGTTTGCAATTTAACACTTAATAAGATTAAAACAAAATTCGTATCGGGTTCGAATTTCATCCATAGCTTTAACCACTTGCGCTGGAAAGACGTGCCACGCACGTCGTAATGCTTTTGTCACAGAATCGCCAACGACGTGGTATGTACGTCGTCATGCGGTGTCACAGAAACAAAAACGTCGTGCGTGGCACGTCGGGTGGGATTGTTTGCCAGACACAAATGCCAAAAAGAATCCACAGCGAAGGTGTAGAGTGTGTACTAAACACAAAAAACGAAGTGAAACTATATGGGAATGTAAGAAATGCCTTGTACCATTACATGTTCCAGGCTGTTTCGAGAGATACCACACTTTGCATGATTATTAATAAATAAATTAAATATTTATATTTGTATAATTTTATAATCAATCGACGCTCTATATTCCCTTCAAAAAGCTATTAAAAGTCCTAGGTCGAAAATAAATTAGTTTAGAAAATATAAATCTTTTTCCGATTTCTGTAAGGCATCGAACACTGTGTGACGCCTCTCAGCGAGTTACACTGGACCGTTCTGGTACACGCGTCAGTGAATTTTTTGCCAGCGCAAGTGGTTAAAGGTAGCTTTAAAAGTTAACGAAAGAAGATTAAAGAACAGTGAGACAAATTCGATCCAATTGTATAGAAAATGAATGACTGCCCGATTGTCTTCTAGCAGTATCGAATAAGCAGAGAAAAATACGAGGATAGTCCCAGAAGTACCTGACTTAACAAAGAAAACACAAAAAATTTGGGAAAAAATATCTTTATTTCTCTACATAGTCTCCTTTTAGCTCAATACACTTTTCCCAGCGATGTTCAATAGCTTCGATACCCTGTTTATAGTGGGAATCGTCGAACTCCTCAAAGTAGCCATCAAGTCACCTTGGTCTATTGTTTTGACTGTTCCTTCGTCTCAGGTGTGAAGTGATAGACCCATGTTCCATCCATGGTTATGAATCGACGCAAAAACTCGGCTTTATTGCTGCGAAACTTCGCCAAACACTCGATTGAAACATCATCACAACGCTGTTTTTGCTCCAATCGCGGCACCCATCTTGTGCACAGCTTTGTCATGTCCAAATTTTCAGTCAATATGCGATGTACAGCACATTTTGAAATGCCTACCATTCTGCTAACTCGCGCACTTTCAGTCGACGTTCATCCAATACCATTTTGTGGATTTTCTTCACCATTTCTGGCGTGGTCACTTCATTGGTCGACCACTGCGATATTCGTCTTGGCAGCTCGTACGGCCTCGTTTAAACTCTGTCACCCAATATTTTACTATTGTAAACGAAGAAGCAGACTCCCCCAGAGTAGAATTTAGCTCCACTTTGATATTGGTTGGACTGAGGCCTTTCAAATGAAAGTATTGTATTACATAACGATGGCCAATTTTTTCCATGTTTACGAATTCACTGAGAGTGTTCACTATTGATGGCTGTCAAACAAATACTAAACAATGTAGCGTCGTCAAACTTCAAACTTAAGCTTTATGAGATTGATTTTTACCATAGTCTTTCTACCACAGTCATTCTTTTCAAACAACAACCGCTATCTATACGTCAGGTCAGGTACTTCTGGGACTACCCTCGTAGCTGTGTGAAGTTGGCCCCCCGACCACCGAGAATTTAATTTTGACCATTGCCATTCGTTTGGTGGTCAAAAGTGCAATAGTTCTCACAAAAAATAAAAATAATATGTGAAGTTGGCTCCCCCGCCTCGAAAATCGGTTTCCACGGTATTCTGGATAATTTTGACCATTACCAATCGTTTGGTGGTCGTTTGGTAGCGTTTGGTAGTCTATTCCCAACGTTTGGTAATCAAAACTGCAATAGTTTTCGTGTAAAATTATAATGTGAAGTTGGCCCCCCCGGTTCGAAAATCAGTTTCCACGGCATTTGACCATTACTATCATAATTTTGACCATTACTAATCGTTTGGTAGTCGTTTAACTGTTTTATAAGTAAAAATAATTTTTTTTCATCAACTTATGTAATTCTCATTAAAACCTCTATTTTCATTACGACTACAATTTCGATTATCGTTCGTGATGAAATAAACATAAAATAGCCTCCATTAAACCATAATTACTAAATTACTATAGAGGTTTACCCATCCCCACTCTTTTGTCATGTCACAGATAATCCTAACGCACTTAACGTAGGTATGGTTATTATATTATATGATCGTGGTAGCAGCATTTTAGTTTGTTAGTTTCAAAGAAAATATTTTTTTATATAAGTTATGTTTAATACTTACTTCGATAATTGGTGTTTATAATCAAACTGACATTTAAATTCGATTTTACATCTCACATATAGTCAATGAAAACCACTTGAAGCCGCTAAATAGACGCCATTGGGATTCACAGTGATGTCAATACCCCTTTTTGTCAATGCATCTTCTGCTCAGAAAGTCGCCAATAAGCAAATCTTTATAGTTTAGTAACTTCGCATTAAACAAATGATTATAATGAAAATTATATATATTATGAAAGGATGCCGCGGAAAGTGCTTTTTTAAACTTGGCAAGCTAACCTAACACTCGCAAATTCGATTTTCATTAATAATTAATATTATTTTCTATGAAACGTCAGGAATTGATTATCAACCGTAAAATTACGACCACCAAAAAATTTGTCACAATGAAAGTTACATAAAATGTTGCGACAAGGGAATGTCGCGTAACATTTTTTAAACTTAGAAAGCCAGCTTCACAAATGCAAACTTTTTTACTAATAACGAAAACAATTTTGACTATCAAACGTTGGGAATGGGCTACCAAACGCTACCAAACGAGCACCAAACGATTGGTAATGGTCAAAATTATCTAGGACACCGTAGAAACCGATTTTTGAGCTGGGGGGGGGGGGCAACTTCACATTATAATTTTGTGCGAGAACTATTGCAGTTTTGATTACCAAATGTTGGGAATGGACTACCAAACGCTATCAAACGACCACCAAACGATTGGTAATGGTTAAAATTATCCAGGACACCGTGGAAACCGATTTTCGAGGCGGGGCCAACTTCACATACAATTTTTATTTTTTGCGAAAACTATTGCACTTTTGACTATCGAACGTTAGGAATAAACTACCAAACGCTACCAAACGACCACCAAACGAATGGCAATGGTCAAAATTAAATTCTCGGTGGTCGGGGGGCCAACTTCACACAGCTGAGAAAAATGCAAAGTAAATGTCTATGTTTGCCCATTTGATGTGAGACACTCTGTATAAATTTGAATTTTGGCACGAATACGTCTCGATCAGATAATATAATGTATTATTTAATATATTAAAATCTTATTTTGAAAAGTAACTGCTAAAATCACCATTTTGAAGTGTCTATTCTATTGTTGTGAATTTATTCAACGTGCCCGGGTCGCATTAATGGATAACTAATTGTTCAGGTCTTAATTGATTACTTTTTTTTAGTATACTTGTCTTCTGTTCCGATGTAGTTTTCCGTGCGGAAGCATTTTAATGTTTCGAAAATGCTTTATTTAAAATGTTATTAATTTATGTATATTATTATTATTATATATTATTATTATTATTATTATTATTATATTATTATTATATTATTATTATTATTTTATGCCATGTTATATTTTGTATATTGGCTTTTCTTTTTTATAATAATTTTTGTAACTGTGTAAATGTTAATAATTACTATTATCATGAGATGTCACTCACTTAATTATAATATGACCCGGGCACGTTGAGTAAATTCACAACAATAGAATAGACGCTTCAAAATGATGATTTTAGCAGTTATTTTTCAAAATAAGGTTTTAATATAATAATCTTAAATACTCAACAATTTATATTGATTTCATATCTTTTTTAAATAGAATTTTTCCATAGGTTTAAAGATTTTTGTTGAATCGATTTTTTATCTATTATTTTATGTATTATTTTATTTTTTAATTGGCTTTTTTTGTATCTATTCTTTTCTATTTTTAATAGGTTTTTTTTGTATTTTTTTCAATATTTCTGTCAATTTTTCTTTTTATAATACTCAATGTATGTTTATACTTTTTTGAAGTAATTTTTTGGTGATTTCACATCTTTTTGTTTTCACATATAAGAAAAGTTTAATGTTAAAAATATTTTAGTCTTTAGTTATGATGGTATTGAATTTGTCTCTCTTTTAGATTGTTTTCTAAAATTTTAATAACAAGTTGTTTTTTTTACAAAATTTGTCGTGTACAAATTAAGATTTAATTTCAGATGGCATAAATGTATTTCCCTAATATATTTGGAAATAATATATACTTGTTTAATATAAATTTTCTATTTAAAAAATTATATTTCTTCTGTAAAGAAAATATATGCATATTTAGCATTTCAAGGCCAACTGCATTTACTAACTTTTAAATCGTG